GAAATTGCCATACTGAACCATGCTAAGAATCAACAGAAGATCAGTATAAAATATCATATTATCAACCATATAACAATGTTTCTTAATGAGTTTAGGGGAAAAAACAAGACTTTTTTAATTTTTGAAAGCTCACTTGTGCATTTACTGGTGAACACGGAGAGCTGTTTCTTGGCTTTGGTGGTTACCATAGTAACTTTCTTCAGATGGATCATTCCTTGTCACTGGAGTGTGTGGAGTCTTATACTCACAGGTGCTGGTGCCGTTGGGGTCCCTAGAGCCTTTTCGCCCTATTCTTAAGTTTGAGCTGTGCACCTTTCCTTGTGTTTGAATCTGACCAGTATCAGACAGTGCATATTCCTCAAGTGTTACTCCATTGTCCACTCTGCCTCTTTGGCAGCAAGTTTTCATTCTAATAAAAGGAGTTATTCAAATGGAAATTCCAGATGTGACTAAGCTGCTTTCATTAGGACAATGGAGAAGTCCAACTTTTTCTTCTAAACACAATCAAGAACAGTGTGGCTTTGCCTTTGTAATTTTACGAAGAGTTGTGTTACATAACTGGAAAATTGTCTTCTCAAGCATAGAGAGAATTCGTTAGAACGCAGCTTGGGAAATGCGATGTAAAGCTTCAATCCAGGAGAGAAACCTTTTAAGTTGCTGAAACGTAGTGCAGAGGAAGAAGGAAATTGCTGTTTTACATGATTGACCAAAATGCACTGTAATTATATCAACTTAAAACAGATTCTTTAGGAGAACTGATAACTCTGTGATCAGAACAAGTCATGTGTGGTGGAGTTAAATGCTGCGTGTACTTTCTCTGCAAAGTGTAGACATGCCATACGTGAGAGATACGAAGCAACAGACAACTGTGCCCGCCTTGGCTTGTTTAAAGGATCTCCAGCTGCTTTGGCATCGTAAAGACTGGCAGGGAGCTTCACTAGGCATTACTGTTTGTCATGCCTGCCTATCCCCTTGCATTGCTCACCCAGTAAAGCCTGCAGACTCTCCCCAAGCCCTGCTATTTGGATGTTACCACTCCTGTTTGCAATAAACATAGCTTTTCAAGGATGCCAGTGACTGTCCTGGCTGCCAGTTCAAAGGCAGATGGAGAAAATGTAATCACAAATATTTAACCCGAATATCTTGACATACTTTCCCTTCTCCTTCGGTGTCTGCTGAGTACTGTTCTCTGCTAGCCACAGTACAGAAAGGTTGATAGGAAGTCAGCCCCAGTGAAGGGGGCACTAGTGTTTATTCTTTGCTTACAAGACTCATTGGCTGACATCTGTCTTGAAATGTTATTCCTTCTATTTGTGCATCTGTTATTCCTTCTGTTTGTACATCTCCTTTACCTGACTGTGAGCTTCTGAAATACAGGAGTAGGTCTTATTTCTTTATAACCATCCAGACAGTGGAATATCTAATAAAAAAATAGTGCTGAAGAATTTGTATTAATTGCATGAACCATGGATTGGATATAATATCTATTGGATTCTGAAAAAAGAAAATTACAATGAGTAGACAAAGTTCCTGTACTTCCAATAGCCAGTTCAGGCAACTTATTAGTTAGATATACATGTATTCTGGATTCAGTTTTGTATCAGCTGACAGGAAACCTATCTAAGTGTTACTTGAACATTCAGACATCATACAAAAACTGAGGTCTCTAACCCAGGCAGTAAAGAAGAGGTTAAAGCTGATTTTCTTTCTTTTGAAGAGTTATTTATTTTATTTTAAAGAGTTACATAGAAACAGGAAAAGAGGCCAAAACCAAACCAGTAGTCTGGAAATCTATCCAAGTTTCCACATGGGCAGCAGCAGCCCAAGTATCGTGTCATCTTGTGCTTCCTTCCCAGGGAGCCAGGAGGAAAGTGGAATGTCTGGAACTCAAACCAGCACCTAAATGTAATGCTAGTGCTACAATCAGTGACTTAACCCACTGCATCATAATGCTGGCCCAAAGACTTTGTTTTTCTAGGTGTGGTGATGAACTGAAATTACTCCATCTGCTGATTCTCACAATCTCCTCTAGGACAAGAGTCAAGCCACTATGAAATGGCCATAGCGAACTGGCTGCAGTACTCAGCTGAAGCGCAGAGAAAGGAAACATTCTCTGTAACGAACTTCAACTTCATCTCCAATATACCTTCCTCCAACTGACTTTGTCTCCACCCACCCTGTGCAGCTATGGGTGTGCAGTGAGCAGAGGAGCTGCACCCTCCTCCCAAAGGAAGCACGGGCCAGGCTGCCTCAGTGGAGGGTCTTTTTCTTAACATCCCTCATTAGGAAAGACATATTTCCCTCCTATTATTTCCCCACTGGAATGCTTCCTCCTGGCTTGTTCTTTTTACCTCTGAATCCCATGAGGACCAGCTCAAATCCCTGCTTCCTGAAGCCCTTCCTGATCTTCCACAGAAAGCAGTAATTGCTCCCCCCACAAACACCTGGACAACCCACTGCTGAGAATAGTTGACATTTTGGATATATGCCCTTATATTAACTTTTTTCCTATTTCTTCATGTACTCCTTGAGAACAGAGATAATGCCCCCTGTTTTTGTAAAACCTGCAGCATCTTTTATCATATGGCAGACATTAAGAAAATATTTGGCAATTTGGAAGAAAAGCATCTAGAAAGGAATTTACTGAGGGAAATGAGCTTAATGAAAGATTATTAAAGATATTATGAGAAACATCTATGCTGATGCAATACTTTTAATACATTAAAACGTTTTAAAATAATTTCCTTAAAAGAAAGAATTACAGAATCTTGGGTATCCCAGACAGATATAAAATGTTTCATACTGAGTAGTTAGGAATATGCAGGTTGAGAAAGTCACAGTTGAGAAATTACTTGGTATACTCCCAAGGTTGTTTGTTGTATATACTTACAGATGGTTCTCCCGTTATATTATTTAGCATTTAGTATTAATTTATCATGTCATTAAAATCTAGATTACCAAGTTATTTCATCTCCGTGTTGTAGTCAAGAATTGCCCAAACTGTCAGATAGTATTCCTATTTTAGACAGAACATCTTACTGAGACTTAGAGGCCAATAATTTTAAGTACACCAAATGGGTCAAAAATGGTTTAAATAAGTTGGCTCTACTAGTCCATGTTATTTTGATAGGCTCTATATAATTTCAATTTGATATATAATTCTTCTCCACAGGGTAACCTAAAATGGGTCATGTCAATACAGATAGAATGGGTCATATCAATACAGATGATTATGATATATTTTTTAAAAATGTATTCATTAATTTGCAAAGCAGAATGACAGAAACCAAGAGAGAGAAAGAACTGTCCATCTACTAATTCACTGTACAGATACCTGTGACAACCAGGGCAGGGACAGTTTGAAGTCAGGAACCCAGATCCCATCTAGGTTTCCCATGTGTGTTCCAAGTGCTGGCTTGACCTACTATGCAGCAATGCTTGCTCCTTTATGATGTTTTAAAGTTTGGCCATCATAGGTATAGAGTTGTAGAATATTACTTGCTGAATTAAAGAGAATTTTAAAAAGTACCTATGTAATGTTTCATCCAGGAAGAAATGTAAACAAAACTCATCCTTTTATGATATATCTATTGCCTTTCTTCATGTTTTGACATTGTTACCTCTCACTTAGACCATTGCATTGCCTTCATCATTGTTCTGTATGATGCACTCCCATAAACCAGACAATAAATCTTCATTTAACATTTGTATATGCCAAGAATTCTGCTGGGATATGAAACAGTTACTGCCCTTGCATACATTAGCAACTCTGTTTTATGAAAACGAATACAACTGTAGCCTTATATCATACACTCGCTCTGGCTGTATGCTTGACTACTTCAGTCAAAGCAGCAGCATGTATGTATTTACTCTTCCCTCTGATGCGTCAGCTTTTAGCATATAACCAACAGAAAAAAGGCACAAGTAACTTGAGACCTTAACACTCATGAAGAAGTGCCAGGCCCCTGATTGTAGTCTGGCCTGACCCAGCCCAGCTTGTCATGGCCATCTGGTGATTGAACCATTGACTGGAAGACCTAGCTCTCTGATTCTCCCTCTCTCTGTAACTCTGCTTTTCAAATAAGTCAGTTTTCTTTTTTATGTAAACTATGGACAGAAACACAAAAGAGAGAAAGGCCCTAAGTCAGAATTTAGACAAAGAGGTAAAAACCATAAAGAATAGGCAGACTCAAGGAACCAGAGAATGAAAATCAACTAAGATGTGGTATAAAAGAGAATCCTTACTTTAAGTTTCTTTAGAAACAAACCCTGACAGTAAAATTTAAAAGTTAAGACTCTCATACTGGAATTTCCACATGTAAGAGTTGCAGTTTTGATATGCATAACTATTCCCAAGGAAAAAAGAAATCAACTTTTAAAGCTGGGAATGCATTTAGCACCAACTTTATGCAGAGAACTGTGCTTCAGCAAGAGTCAAGTAGCCTGAAGTGCCTGCATTGGTTGAGCCAACCCACCATGAAATGGTTGATAGGAAGTTGGGTTTAATACAGCAAACTACAGAACCAACCCTTGATCCCAGTGCAGGCTTGTGTTTGCCAGAATTCCAAATTCACAGTCAGGATCAGATGTAGGCCATATTAGCTGCTTTGTATTTTTAATCTTTCTATTGACGTACCCAAGGAACACTAATTAAAATAAGTAGAGCTACTTCTTTCATGCACAATTTTGGATTTCTGAGTTGTATGTTGAAACAAGGTATGACATCTGTGCATGCCTTTTTTAACAAAAGAAATATTCGATTGCTTCAGGGTGCAACTGTTTGGCGGGAAAAAACTATCTTCTCTATGAAAGTACAAAGAATACAATTTTAAAAACTTAAAAATAAGGCAAAGTTCATATAAAACAAATGAACCCATGAGATCTACAGCCTAGAGTATTTTAGATTAGTCTGAAAAATACTGACATCTAGGATTTTGAAAAATAAGAAAAGCCATTTGGTAAACTATTTAACTTGGATTTTTATTTAATTCTGTTTCTAGGTTCCAGATTCAGAGATGTACAACAGACCCAAACAGTTATAAAAGCTTGGGAGACAGCTTTCGAATGATTTTCCGAACAGAAGGGTATGTAATTTCCTTAATGCAAATACTCTGTATGATACAGAAATTTTAATTTATCTCTAGTTAACATGTTTCCTTGTTTTGAGTGGTTTATTTGTATAATCTTCTTCAAAGATTTATTTAGTTGAACAAACACAGAGTTACAGAGAGGGAGAGAGAAAAATGGTCACAATGACTGAGGCTGGGAAAAACTGAAGTCAGAAGCGTGGAGCTCCATCTGACCCCATGTAGGTGACAGGGCCCAGGAACTTGGGCCATCATTTTCTGCCTTCCCAGGCACATTTGCATGTAGCTGGATCAGAAGTGGAGCAGCTGGAACTCGAATGAGATACTGGTGTCGAATGAGATACTGGTGTCCCACGCAGCAACTTAACCCGTGTCATCACAATGCCAACCCATAGTTTCATGGTCTTATTAAACAAGTATGCTTATAAAGTATGCTTTTTTTTTTGCCTGATACTATGTTTGGAAATTTAATGCATATATAATGGCAACTACTACAGGATATATTAACAATTAGTTTAAATTTCCAATTTATACCAAGAAGGCTTTTTAAAATTCTCATAACTGGGACTATTTGAACTTAACATTTTTCTAGTTTCGTACTTAAATACAATGCCCAAACACATTCTTTGTTTGCATAGCAGTTTGTGAAAATGCAATCAAAACAAATCTGTATCAAAAATGATGCATCAGATTCCTAACTGTATCTAACAGGTGACCAAATAAGTAGAATGTTATTCACTTGAGGTAAAGCTTCTTTAGTGTGTGTATTTAGTTAAAGTCTGCATATACTCTAATTTTTAGGTAACACTATATTTGCTTTGGGAAGTTAACATCGTAAGAATATTGGTTGGCAATAATTAACCAAAAGTACAACAGTAATAACTAATATGTAACTAGTTCCTATTTTATACTTAAGAATTTTCCTTATAACTCACTGATGTGGATTCTATCAGGATCCATTCTACCTAGATAAAGAAACTAGAGCTTAGAGAAGTTAGCAGTGTTTGCTTAGGTGGTATGTGGTAGACGTGGCTCTCCAATCATGTCTGCTTAATCTCAAAGTGTAATCTAACCCATTTCACTACCTCATTTGCCAGATGATATTGTCAATACTATTCTGCTAATCATCTTTACCAGTAAATACGTGTGATGGATATCTGTCTATACCAATGAACAGTAGCATGGCAACTTAGTATCCACATGCTGCACTTTATTCACTTAACCCCTTTGGTAGTCATTTAGCTGGTTTCCAGATTTTCATGTTTATTAACAGTAGTACAATGAATATTCTCAGACTAACTGAATATTTATATATACGGATTTATTATATTATACGTTATAAATACTGTTTATTTCTGTAAAAGAAGCTGATAGCTAAAACTCACAGTACCATAAGATAGGTATTTTTATGTTACCAATGTTGACAAATTACCTTACAAAAAATATTTAACTATCATGATTAGCATAATTTTATACCCTTGGTATTTGAGAGTTCCTCTTTCTCCATATGCTCTTAAACAATCATAATTTGATATATCTGTCACCCACCCACATGCATCTCTTTTTTAATATCTGATGGAGAGAAAAAGTGAAAGTATCTTAATTGTAGTTCTTTTTACTGGAATTCAGTAAACTTTTATATGTCATTGTTTCTTTCATGATCACCTATTTGTGTACTCTACCAATTTATCTTAGGTTAGATCTTTTCACTGATTTCTAGGAACTTAGTATACCATAGATATTGGTATTTTGCCATGGTGTTCCTACACTTTTCAGAAGTTTGTGATTTTTGAAAATGGGCTTTGTGATTGTATTTATCTATTACTTTATCTCTAAACTTGATGTTACATTTTTTAAAAAGACATCTTCTATACTCAAAACGATTTGCCTCTAATTTTTTTCAATATTTAAATCCTTAATTTATCTAACACATTTTTCAATGAAGAGTGTAGTGTAACCAAATTAAATTTCATTTTGAAATGATTTGTCAGTTGTCCAAATTTTGTATCGAAAAGCTATTTTTATTTATTGATTGCAGGTGCTGAATGTCAGATATTAAATTTCTATGTATTTAATATCTTCAGTCCTGTAACAAACATTCCTCCATTCCATGCTCTGTTTAATTAATGTATCTATCTCTATGCCATCATTACGTGTGTTCATTATTTTGTCTTTGGACTATCTGGGAGAACATGGGGAAATAGGCTCCATAGCATATAATTCAAACTGTCTATGTAGCACAGATTTCCTGGCATAGCCTGCCCTGATCCAGACACAATCTTCCTGTACTGACAGGCTCTGGAATTAGTAGTTAGTTACAGTCCTCTGGACTCTCTCACTGTCATGCCTTTTTCATATTCTTCGCTTGTCCTGCTAGACCCAGCTACCTAATCCATCCCACAACCTAGACCTCTTCAAAGGTGATTCCAAGCTTTATCGTTCCTTACAATCTTTTCCTTCACAACTAAATTCTCCCTCCTTTCTTGCCTCCCTTCCTGTCCCTCTTAACCTTTTCCCTTTCTGCCATTCTCTTCATACACATGCACACACACACATTTTTATAAGGTCATGGTTGTGTTTTCTGATATCTGTGTTCAGCACTAAGTAAAGACAGTAGGTATACAAAATAAAACCCATAAGTAAATTAAAACCATCACATCGATATCATGATTATGTAAAATGACAAGAATGACGGTTCTTGCTAAAGACCATACTCTCTGAAGTTGAAATAATGGTCTTGATGTCTGATTAAATGTTTTCCAAAAATTCTTGCTGACTCTGCAGATGTCACACCTAAGTGCCACACATTGACAATGTACCTCTATTTATGAAAAATGAGGTAAAAAAAATTGTCTTCACTTTACCCAAAATATGAGTATATAAAGCTGAGAAATTATAGTAAATCCTAGAATCAATGGAAGTACCCCCTTTCCAGTAAGGCAGCATGCTAGTATTGCCAAGTTCTGTAAGCTGTAACCGATATCTCTGAATTAAACGTGGGAGCTCCTTAGGCAGGATCTGCATTTCGTGTATGTTTTAGAATGAATTTAATGTTTCTGCTTTGATATCAAATAATATAACAAACACACACTATGTGTGGTCCTTGCCTAGTAAAACCAGCCTTTTCCCATAATGTATATGTAATTGCTTCTAGAGCAAATTGAGATTTTTTTTTTCCTCAATCCCTTTAGATCTGGACATGTTGTTAGCCAAAAGCCGAGTTCTCATCTCAGAGATGGGAATGTTTGTTGAAACACCAAAGAGGCTGCCTATTGTTTTTGACACAGCTCAAAGACATTTTCTATCCTCAGATTACACAAACAGAAAACAAAAATGAAAGACCTATTTAATGCATTCTAAATAGACTTTTTCCCATAGTAAAGGTAGGTCCTTTTGATTTTCTTAGCTCAAAAGATGCTATGTTTAAAGAAGCAGATTGTCCCACTCAGATGCCTAAAGGACAGATAGGTTTGTAGTCTGCAGAGCAGGTAGCACTGACTTCTAGTGCGATTTGAAGGATTCATCTTTTCTGAGTTTTTTTTTTGTCTTCCCCAAGATAAAGGTTTTACAAAACTGATGATTGATGTTTAGAAACATTTAGCTCTGCTAATCCAGATAGAATCTGTACAGGACTCCCATCTCCTGTGCTAATACAGTGGAATGGTCCTCCCCTTCCCTGACCATTCTTTTTTATTTATTTATTTATTTGTTGTTGATAACATTGTATTATGTGATACAGTTTTATAGGCACTGGGATTTCCCCCGCCCCTTCCACAACCCTCCCCCCACCTTGCTGCATAACCACGGTTCAAGTTCAGTTGAGATTCCTTCATTGCAAGCATATACCCAGCATAGAGTCCAGCATCTTATTGTCCAGGTAACTTCAGCAGCTTCTTGGGGAGGCCTTCTCTGGTCTGAAGATAGAGCTAACAGAGTAAAGTTCTGGTCAGTTAAAAGCCCCAACAAAACATCAGCAACAATATACAGTGTTATGGAATTAATTGACATAGTATTGAGTAACCAATATGTTAAAAATAATGCAAGTTCAATTTTTCAAAACACATGTATTGAGACAGTGTCAATGACAGGTTCAAAAACAGACAAACAAACCAAAAAATTACAGGTTAAATTAAGGCAAACATGTGGCATCTAACCTTTTGGGATTCTCTCATTTCCCTTAGCATTATAGTTTCCAGTTGGGCCCATTTAGCCACAAAGAACTACATTTTGTTTTTTTTAATAGCTGAGTAGTATTCCATGGAGTAGATGAACCAAAGCTTTCTTATCCATTCTTCTGCTGAGGAATATATCCAAAACACCTGTTTTACAACAAACCAACATACACCCCTATGTTCATAGCAGCACAATCAGTAATTGCAAAAACATGGAAGCAACCGAAATGCCCATCAGCAGAAGAATGGATAAGAAAGCTTTGGTTCAGCTACTCCCTGACCATTCTTACAGGTACTGTTCCCCCACCTCACTGCCAGGACTGACTTGCTTCCAACAGATGACAGCGCCACCACAGGGTACAAATCTAAAGGCACAGAAACATGGTACTTTTATTGAAGACATAGCTTTTCAACCAGCTTAATGAAATGAGATTGATTTTTTTCTTTTTAGAAATCTAGATACTAAATGAGGATTTCTATTAGACAGAATCCTCATACTTAGCTTTTATGAAAGAAGCCATTTCTCTAATGTAGAAAAGAGAACTGATATGAATTGAAGGAACATGAGAAATCTTTTTGCTGTTGAAACATCCTCAGCATTTTCTGGTTTGACACGAGCAGACAGGTCCATCTATGGTAATCAATGAGTCCTGGAGACATGAAGATGAATCCTACTTGATTTTGTACCAATGTGGTTCATTGTATAAACTTAACCTGGTAGTCTGTGGCTTGGTGACCTCATTTACCAAGCATTGATGCCTCTTGCTTTACTTTCCTTTGCTTCTTTTTCTTTTTTAGATTTATTCATTTCTACTGCAAAGTCAG